AAGAAATGCCTTTTCATTTCACTGTGATAGCACAGGAAAGCCTCACATAGGGTGGCAAGAAACCGCCACTTTTTTCTTTCTTTCTTTTTTTAACACACATCCATCTAAGAAGTTTTTCCCCTACTGCGAAAATAGTTCAGTCTGAGCTATAAAGCACCCAGTGCAGACTATACAATATCAGTTCAGTCTCCACACTTATTAGCCTGTGAGAGCAGCTAACTTAGAATTGTTTTTTAATAATCACCAAAAGACAGCCTTCTGCTATAGGAATAGTAGGGAAATCTAAATGAGTGTTGCCTTGGGTGGAAGAAACAGCCAATATGAGAGGCCCCTCACATTGTGCAAACTCCTTAATGTGGAATTTTCTATTAACAAATGCCCACCTGGTTATACCCAAATGTTTGGTTTTAATCTTGGTCCTTCCCTCTGTGTGTAACTAAAACAAATCAAAAAAAGAAAACACAAGTGCTTCTATCAATGTACGGTAAGTTGCAAACCAAGCTGAAGCAGATCACAGGCAAATGTGTCTTATGACTAATGAGAGGAGATGTGACAAATGTTTATAAGCCTGTGAAGGGTATATATGTGTAATGCAAGAAAGCATAGCAAAGAATAATGGGAATAAATGGGAGAAAGGGGAGTCTAGACCGAATCGCAAGAACAGAATTCCTGCTTGATCTTCTACGAAAAGATTGGATAGTGTAAGTGAAGTTGGATTCCCCACCATATAGGGCATGCTTAAATTGGACAGCTTAATATAGTATATTCTCCACTGTGGAAACCAATCCTGCCCTTGCAAGGGGATGATCAAGACAGTTCCATCATTGATTTGTGTGGTTTTTCGGATTCTAATGAGATTGTGTGTGGTAGAGCTTTGTTTATGTGTGGGGCCTACAGTAAGAACAGTGTTTGAATTACTCAAAGCAGGAAAGATCGATGTTTAAAATCTAACATCTGGGTATGCCCAGGATGACATTTCCTAACAAAAGATTCAGTGTTAAAGGTATATATTTATAAATACTGGGGAAAATGGGACGTGGTGTAGATCTAATGCTATTTGATATTTATGAAGTGTCAAGGTTTTATTTGGACAGAAATTTGGTAATTATCAACACTAGGGCCATTTATTAAGTTTGAGAGTAAATCAATAGAAAATTGGAATTCCATTTATTTCGTGACCACTTTGCATCTGCCTACTGTGCCAACTAAGTGTAGCAAAATGCAACTTCAGAACTGCCAGGCATACCAGATAGGTCATACACATTCCATTCCAGTTGCAGTGGCTTTCATCACGACAAACAAACTATACTGTGATGCAGAATTCTGCAGGAGAATGAGGAGAGGAGATGGCTGCAGTTGGGTTTATTTGAGAATTAATAGCCTTTAACTTTACCAGTGGGTTCAGTCCTGCCCGTCTTATTCAGCCAAAACTCCCAATGGATTTAATGGGAATCTTGGCTCAGTTTGAGGTACAAGATCAGGCTCTATGCCATTTAAAGCACTGATGAGATGATCTGCAGTAAGGTGGGGCTAAGAGATAAGCATTCAGTTTGTTTGGAAGGGTAGTGGGTGAATGATTCTGATCTTTGCCAAAGTCACCGCACGTCACCATCACACCTCAGAGCCAACAAAGCATTCAGTTAAAAAAAAATGAAAAAATAAATATTTTCCTGTTCTCCTTCAGGCAGGATATGTTCGGGACCTATCTTTTCAGTGACCTACAAAATTTTAAGAAAAGACCTTCCAGAATTTTATTGGCATTGCTACTATTAGACGAACTTCCCTTTCTCTTCTCCTCAGCCTGGAGGTCAGCTTTAAAGAGAGCATTAAGTGAATGGCTAATGGAATTAAGGGTATAATAATAGAAGGATATAGTGAGACAATTGTATTAACAAGAAATAAATCATGTTGAGTGTAAGGTAAGTGTTTTTTAATTGATTGATGGGAAGGATGCCCCATAGGTTTTTCGAGGACTAACAGCCATTTACCTCCTCATCTACAGTAAAAAGCCAAAAGAGAGAAAGAGATAAGAAAATTATGCAGTGGAGAGATAAATTATTCAGAGAAGATGGCCTTTTTGTGCTGACATCACTAATGTGAAAAAGCATTAAATCTTTGACACTAGCTGCATTCCTTGGAGGTTGCAATGGCTGGAACGAAGTATTAGAGATTAAAGCTGGAATGCTTCTTCAGCTTCCTTGTATGCCATAAGTGGCCTTCCAAGGTGATCTGGTAAACAGAGACCCAGCAAGTATTATGGATCCCAAGTGAAACGGTGATGCTGGATTTTTGAACCTGGAGACTCTATCTCTATTAAGAACAATTCTGATGTACTCTGTATTAGGGCATGGTGATATACATTACAATCATGAAGGATATCTATATGCATACATGTGAACAATAACAATGCAACGTTAAGGTTCTAAAGTGAAGGCCAACAGGCCAGACCCTCAGTTTTTGTAACTTGACCTGACTTCACTAGAGCTATGCCAATTTACACCAGCTGAGGACCACAGCCAGGAAATACAGAAACTCAGATTGCACCTGCAGTTATAACTCTGTCCCATTGCATGTATATATTGCAGTTGAAATAAGCAAACATTTCATTAAAAGGCAAGATTGGCTGCTGACCTCCCACCCACTCAAACCTGAAAAGCAAGGAAATGTGGCGTGAAGGGGTAGAATCTCCCTTGTCTCCCATGCATCAAATGAGATGCTGTGGCCCCCCACAGAGAATTGCCTTCCATTTGCAAGATACAGAGACACATTACACTCCCTACATTCATTTCACTGTTTAGGATGCAAAAACTTAACTTTAGCTTCATACTTAGCCCCCAAATTTTCCATTAACCTGGACCCCATATGTCCTTTCTGCACCCATGCCTCTCTTCCTGAGCTAGCATTGGCAAGATGCACGAGTGAATCAGGTGAAAAATGTCAGCAGGAGATGGTACCGCTCATGTTTCTCTGGCTCCCGGGAGTTTGGAAAGTCCATTTCTAGTGAATTTGTTAGCTCTGTTTTTGTGCTGACCTCTGCTACAACTCCATCATTCCCACCTGGCAAGTTCCATTTGCAGGGTACCCCACTCCATGTTCCACAAGTACCTTACATTGAGTCCAAGCCTAGAGCTTGGCAGTGTTCATCTCCTTTGTAAAGGAAAGTAAGCCAAACACACTTTGAAGGTTAGGGCACTGACATGAGTTTGTGGGTACAGTTTAAAGGCACTGGGTCCACAATGTCTTCACAAAAGGTTTCAAAGAGGTGAGATAGCACACTGAACATTTCAAAAACAAGTAGGTTTTAAGATGTTTTTATTTAGCAAATGTTAACCCCCTGTCTCTCACACCATTCAAACAGGCAACAAAGATCACATTCTTTTGTTAGTTCACTGGAAAATTATATAGATATATTAGATAGAGAAGTTAATGTGCCCCACTGAACTGAGAATCCTGACTCAGCTTTAACTATGGTGTTCCTCTGTAATACAGTCTTTAATTATGCAATTACCTACTATTTCTCAATTGAAGGAATGGACTGATTTTTTTTCTATAATCTTTGATGCATATTTGTACCTTTACTACTGTGTGATATTCTGTGACTGTAAAAAAAAAACAACCCCAACTCCTTCAACAATGAAATGCAACAGAAGCAAATATAGGAAGTGAAATATAATTAAGAAATTAAAAGGCAGTATGTCTGAGTGCATAGCTAAATCCACAATTAAAGAAGAAGGTAACAATGTTTCCAAAAACTAATTTAGGCCTGTTTTTGCTCTATATTGATATAGGTTGCTGTAAATAGAATCTTACAGTAAAAGACAAATACCTTGGGCTTAAAAACTTGCAAATTTTTGTGAGCCTTTAAAATGTGTGTACTCTGTTTGGTTTCATTTATAAAGTTAGAAATATCTTTGGACCTTCCACAACAGTTACGCAGGAGTATAAATTCCATCTATGACAAATCCCTCATGTGATTGTAAAGAAACTGTTTTACAATGTTTTAATGTTTTAAATGTTTTAAAGCAAAACTCTGGAAGTTTGCATAGGCTTTGGACAGAATAAAAACAGATCTTGCAGAATATTAGTTCATTATCTACATAACATACTTACTTCAAAACTATTGGAAAACGTACAATGTACAGTATGGAATACAGTTGCTTGATGTACTTTTATCCAAAGAGCAAAATTCCACTTGGTATGTGTAATACAAACCTAGCAGAAAAACCAGACACAAAACAATAATACTCAGTACAAAAGATAATTTGGTATATCAAATGCTTAACTTTGGAATGATAGACAGCCTGATTTTCAGAGGCGTTAAGTGCCTGGACTTTGCATTTCCTAACGCCTAATCTTGTAAAGACTTAATTATGTTCTTAACACCATGATGAGGAGTCATTTGAAAAGTTAAGCACGAGTCTTTGTAGGACTGGGGTTTTAAACTGGAACTGATGGTCCTCAACACCAATGAAAATCAGGCCCAGAACAACAAAATATATTCCAAGATAGTGTATGTTCTGAACGAACTGGTTGTGACCAATCCCCACCTAACTTCTCCTGGGAAGGAACTATTTTTAGGGACACTTTTGTGATTAAAAGAAAGGGTGATAGCTTTTTAATTTTTTTTAAAAGTTTAGGATAAATATTTTTCAAATAATATTGACTCACAGATGATCCCTTTGGAAAGATCTTTAAAAGTGCTCTAGACTTTTTTGGTTACTGGTAAGAAAACAAAACAAAAGCCCACCTGCTCATTCATTCTCATTACTTGCCCATGCCTCAGAATGAGTTAGACCAGCTGCTGGGCTGCTCCAAATGGCGCCCTTGGTAGAGGGCACTTGGTGGACACTACACCTGTGGAATATTGATGTAGCAATGCTCCACTCTGACATATTCCAAATGTGTCCCAACTTCAGTATGCGCCCTACACTGGGTGGGTGATGGTTTTAGGTGTAACAGCTTCCCAGAGCGGCACAGCCCCCTGCTTACTTGGAGCTGGTTTACTTGGTCACCGCCTTGGTGCCCTCAGACACGGCGTGTTTGACCAGCTCCCTGGGCAGCAGCAGGCACACAGCAGTCTGGATCTCCTGGGAGGTGATGGTGGAGCGCTTGTTATAATGCACCAGGCGGGACGCCTCCCCAGCAATGCGCTCGAAGATGTCATTGATGAAGGAATTCATGATGCCCATGGCCTTAGAGGAGATGCCGGTGTCGGGGTGAACCTGCTTCAGCACCTTGTAGACATAGATGGAGTAACTCTCCTTCATGGTCTTGCAGCACTTCTTGTCTCCTTTTTTCTGGGTCTTGGTCACCGCTTTCTTGGAGCCTTTTTTGGGCGCGGGAGCTGGTTTAGGCATCCTGAAGACTGCAAGCAACGCACAATATGGTGAAAGGCAAAAGTTCAGCCACTTAGGGAGCTCCCCTCTGACAGGGGAAGTCTCTACTGGGCACTTAGGATACCTAGTCATGGAGCAGAACCCCATTGTGCTAAGCACTGTAAGAACACGGAACAAAGAGTGCAGCCAGATAACGGCCCCTTTGTACCAAGCAGCAATCACATATTATAGAATCTAGCCCTTTGTATTCAAAGTGCTTTACAAACATTGTGCCAGGTTCTATGCTAGTTTAAATCAGCAAAACAACACTGATGTCGATGGAGCCATGGTCATTGTACTAGCTGAGGATCTGGCCCATTATCTACTTCTTTGTATGTGTGTTCGCAGATGTAATCAACAAATAAAAGTAATTGCCCAAAGGCTGAAAAAGTGTTGTGGACAGAATAGAATGGGGGCAGAATGTGCCATATTTCTATAGAGCTAGTCTATCCCATATCTTTTCCAGAGAAGGATTAGAGGCAGAGAACAGTCCTACCATGCTGCTGCTGAAATAGATGCCTTAATATATTTCGTTCTAGAATAGTGCAATTCCTCCTTAAGGTTTTTCACATGTGCTGCCCCAGTTGTGCAACATCAGCAATAAAGATACTGCAGGGCAAATTGTGCCCTGTTACTGTTCTACAACTCCTCTACAGGCTAGTGGGGTAGCACAGAGGGAGTAACTTGGCCTGCAGAATCTTGGTAGTTGGTAGTGATAAATGAAAAGAAAGAGCCCAGTATATTGGTAATTGAGATTGTAAGCTGTTTGCTGGGCTGGCGGTTGGAAACATGTTTTTCCTTATAAACTGAGCCAATCTAATGCTGGTCTGTCCCTCCAAGTACTTGTATGGCCCCTCACCATAGTCCCTGAGCACAGAGGAACACATAAGATTCACCACAATGCAATTTCTTTTACAAGTCACTTTTCTATTGTGCTTTGTGCAGTCTCTCACTTATTCCCTACTTTTTCTTCTGGCATTTGACACTCTCTGAACTTTATTTCCTAATCTTCTCAGACCTCTTAGCTATATAGCTCTTAAACATGTGTGTTGTCCTCCCCTCAATCCTCCCACTCCTAGTATATTTATTGCTTGCTAACACCCCTCACTTTTGGGGCATGCATGAATATCTTTGAAAACTTTCCACTTCCCCAATGTATTTTCCCCTATGTTGTCTCACCATATTGACGTTCAGCCAGTGCTTACTCTATATCCCCATACTTAAAATGGATAAGATTTAGAGTGTTGATTTACGCCCTGATCTTGTAATTAGTTGCTCCCATGTGGAGCCTGATTGACTTCTGGGTTTATAAACTAATTTTAGGCCCCAATCCTGCAAAGACTTATATATGTGCTTAATTTATACACTGTGAGTAGTTTCATGGATTTAAATGGGGCTACTTGCATTGTGTGTAAGCCTTTGCAGGACTTGGACCCTGGGACACCGTAAAGGGAAGCAATATAATAGGAGGTAGCATATGGCGAAGGAAGGCAAAGGTTCTAGCAGTAGGATCATATCACTACTCAGTTAAGGTATGTGGACATACAATAAAGCCCTGGCTGGGATGATTTAGTTGGGGATTGGTCCTGCTTTGAGCAGGGGGTTGGATTAGATGACCTCCTGAGGTCCCTTCCAACCCTGATATTCTATGATTCTTTGATTCTATAATATCTGAAAATGCTAGTTATTCGAATCCAGAGTGTGTCCCCCAAGTAATCCTATGTTAATCACCTGCTAATAACTTCTCTGTTCGCTACTTAGCACCTGTTAGAGCTAATCATTGGCTTTGTATTTGTATAACAGATAAATAATTAAGAAATAAATTATGTCCACAGTGGTTTTAATACAATGTTGGTGTTTTAATACACTCAAAGTTGTTGTTTTTCTCTTTAATGTACAAAGTATTAAGAAAACATAAGCATTCCTCCCCTTGTTCCCCATATTACTATATCAGTGAAACGGCAGCTCAAAATAGCACTTCTCTTTATCTGAATGCCTGGTTATCTGAAAGTTTCAGATGTCCCTGGCCATTCAGATAAATGGGAGTGTGTGAGTGTGTCTGCATGCACACAACTGACTGACTACTTATGAGGCAGTTATGCAATTCTCTGCGTTAGACAGAAATCTTTGTGGCATCTGTATGTGATCATCATCTCCCATAATCTGCAGGTTTGTATCTTCATCGCATCATCCCCCACTGAGACTGTTTTATCGGTCTTGGTGTTGCCCTCAATATACTACACTCCTCAGAAGCTAAAACATTCTTTTATGTAGAATTGTTAAGAGCTTTTTTTTGGCTTTCAGTAAAATGTGTAGAGACATTGGTGTGCTTGGACATTTTTCTATTCCATTCTCCCCGCAGAAGGACTTACTTGTTTCCATCCTGTGATCTGTTGCACAGATTTTCTGAGCCCCCTCTAAATGCTGGTCATATGTTTGCTTTCATGGAATTTTGTGGCCAGCCTCTCATTGAGTTGTCAGTAGCAGATCTTACCATTTCTGATCATATCATAGTACCATTTGCTGTACGTTAATTTACCTTTGCCATTAACTACAGGTCAGTTTTGTCCATTAAAGACAATAATCCTAGTCAAGCTCCAGGATGCTATTTGTGGGGACTACTATCCTTAGATCTCTTGAGGAACTGGTAAATCCATATTATAATCTTGTCTAATATGCTTGATTTGTTGGCTCTTGTTAGTGCTCACACAGTTAATTCTAAATGCAGAGATCCTTGATTAGTGTGCTGGTCTCAGAAGGCTTTCAAGAGAACACCGGAACATATTGAAGATAGGGAGCTTCTAAATTACAGATATGTTTTCCAGCATGGAAGGAGGAGCACACACGAGAAACTGCTGAATTGGAATTCATTTGCAAATTGGATACTATTAATTTAGGCTTAAATAGAGACTGGGAGTGGCTAAGTCATTATGCAAGGTAGCCTGTTTCCTCTTGTTTTTTCCTACCCCCCCTCCCCCAGATGTTCTGGTTTAACTTGGATTTAAACTTGGAGAGTGGTCAGTTTAGATGAGCTATTACCAGCAGGAGAGTGAGTTTGTGTGTGTATGGGGGTGGGGGGGATGTGAGAAAACCTTGATCTATGCAGGAAATAGCCCGACTTGATTATGTAAAGAGTTGTCACTTTGGATGGGCTAGCACCAGCAGGAGAGTGAATTTGTGTGGGGGGGGTGGAGGGTGAGAAAACCTGGATTTGTGCTGGAAATGGCCCACCTGTTGATCATTTTAGATAAGCTATTACCAGCAGGATAGTGGGGTGGGAGGAGGTATTGTTTCATATTCTCTGTGTGTATATAAAGTCTGCTGCAGTTTCCACGGTAAACATCTGATGAAGTGAGCTGTAGCTCACGAAAGCTCATGCTCAAATAAATTGGTTAGTCTCTAAGGTGCCACAAGTACTCCTTTTCTTTTTGCGAATACAGACTAACACGGCTGTTCCTCTGAAACGTAGACAAGATAGTATGTTTATACTAAATGTGTACCTCAGATCATCAAAGGTGGGCCCAAGGCAATTGTCTACCAACATCCAATAGTGTAGAAGCTTGACATTTGCTTTGGAGTAGGTCTCCTAATCTAAACATTCTATCAAGAAATACAGCGAAACTAAGTGGCTGGTATTTCCAAACTAGAGTGTACACAAATGGAGCTTGCTATGTCTTTTTTTTAAATTTCAAAGTGCAAATTCTTTGAAGGTTGCTGAATTAAATTAGAACCTACTGAAACCTAACAAATGGCAGCTGATTCATGTGCTCAGAAGCTGCTGAACTTTCTACAAGATGCTTTCTCCCTCCAACTCTAATCTGTTCCAACTGAGTCTGCAACTGCATTAAATTCCACTAGATGGCACTTTTCTGAATATATGATAGAACAAGTTTTTCTGTTCTTTTCCTTATTGCAAACCATTTCTGACACAGAGCCTCGTGCTATTGCCAGTGAATGCACTGTCCACTCTCCAGTTTCAGTTGGATTGTTTCCATAGAAGTAGTGAAAGATGGTTTCAACATCACTCTGAATTATTTATGAAGGTAAGCCTTAACATCTGAGGATTGGTCCTTTCACTTTCCAGTTGGCTGAAGAACCTGTAATGTTCCCACAGGATTTAAACAAGACATGACAGGAGTGTACTGAATAAAACGCTAATTGTGTAGTTCACTGGACATGGACTGAGAGCTCAGTAAGTATCCCAAGCTCCTAACTCCCAGACTGGCTAACACAGCCTGTGATGCTTACTGTCATCATATGGGATTCCCAGATGTCCTCCCCTGGACTGCACAGTCTTGGCATGGATGGCAAACTATCCAGCATTTGCATACTACAGCGATGAGGGGCACATAAGTACTGAAATAGATGTTGCATTCAGAAAGAGCTCATGGTTTTGTGGTTAGGGCCCTGGACTGGAACTCGAGTTGGATTCAGTTCCTGGTAGGGTTGCCAGTTGTATTCCTAGAGATTTCATCACATGACATAATCTTTAATTAAAGATTAATCTTTAATTTCTGGAGGCTCCAGGCCAATCCTGGAGGGTTGGCAACCACAGTTCCTGGCTCTGCCACAGACTTCCTATGTGATCTTGGTCAAATCATGAATCTCTCTTATGTTTCAGTTCCCTGTCTGTACTAGATGGGTGATACTACTTTCTTCTGCCCCCCTACACCCAACTTGTTTGTTTAAATTCTTGTGGGCAGAGTTCGCTCCTTACTAAATTCAAAACCTGCCTGACTGTGACAGTGATTTACTCACCCCTGATTGGGCATGTCGACTGCCTCAGTTTCCCCTCCTACCAGCTGGTGGGTCAATTCCCAATCCCAATTTGACTGTGGTTCTTTGAGTGGTTTATCCCTCTCAGTGTTTAAAACAAAAGTCTGTATAAATAAAACAGTCTCTTACATGACCTCATGATCAATTTTTATGGTGGGAGAACATGAGAAGGTCGAAGCACTGGGATAGTGATGGAAGCATGAGCT